CCTGGTTTTGCAGCAAAAATATTGACATCAACCTGATCACAAATGCAGAACATGAAATTGCTTGTAATCTTATAGCTTCTTTCATGTCCCTGGAATTTCTATGAAACAAATATTCCAATGACACGATTTCATGTGCACAGGTGAAATTAAAGGTATATTGGACTATCTAAAACTGCACTTTAAGTAAAATTCGAAAACATTTCATCGCCTATCTATTTGCGTAGGTCTGTGCTAAGGACACTCTATATTCGTACTTAACATGCATTTTTCATCACTTTGAATTGCAAAGTTTGACAATAAAAGGTGAAGTGTTTCTTTTCTATATAAAATCAACACTTGTATAACATATACATTTTTGAAGTAGTCACAGAAAATGTCAAATGAGGTTCTTTGCATTTAGAGGATTTCAAATGCCGACAACCCCCTTTTCTTTTAATGTTACTTGTTTATATTTTCTCTGAGAGGAAATATATTCAATTTTCAAAATGATATAACAATGACCTTAAATGATATTCCTGTTCTACCTGAATGGGAATTTTGATTTGCTGTATATTTTCGATGTATTTAGAACATAAAGTCATTTACATGCATTAAACCTAAATGCAGAAAATTTCTGCACCAGAAATAATTACTTGAAGTGAATCCTTATCGTATTTAGAATCTCTTAATGTTCTTTAGTTTTTATAAAAAGTATGAAATTTCCAAACTTTTTTTTCCCTCATCTTCTTGAATGAAGATTTTAACTTTTAAGTTTTTAACAGAGCTGGAGAATCGGAGTTGGACTTTTGAACGAAAAATGCTTAAGTGTATTTAAAAAAAAATCAATATAATTTACTTTCATGTACATGAACGCCAAACACACTATTTCAAAGCATTAATCTCATAATACGAGATATTTGAATGCTACCAAAATTTATTTTATAAACTAAAATAAGTAGCTCATTTGTGCACCACCAAATAAATGAGGCAACCATCAAAGATGAATGTTTGGAAAGCTCCTGGAAAATTAGAAGATACCACAACCCATCCCTCAAAACATTCAAACTGAAACAAACACAACAAATAAATAAACAATAAATGAGCTTACTTTGCATAGATATATTTTTTGGAAATCACGAAGTCAAAAACCTAAGTAATTCTAGAAATATTCCTTTTGATTTAAATATACAACAGGAGGTGAACAAGTAACCAGAAAAAAAATGTTGAACCTACTCACCAAAATGCTTAATCTTGAAAACAATTCTCAGCAAACCTAAGATCACAGCGTCACATTAGGACAGCTAGTGGAATGTCTAACCTGCACAAGGGCTTGGCCGACAGCAATCAGTGTGTCCTTTGGAATGCTAAGATCGATTATTTCTTACACCTCGTTTCAACACCTTAATGCCAATCGAACTGTCCCTGGCTATTTTAATCTTTATTCTAGTATGTCAAAATACTGTTTATAATTTGTGACAAGTTCTTGTTTCTTTGAGCACACCACATTGAATGTAACAGTTGTGCCAGGTAGATCAGATGTTGCATGATAATTCTGACAAAACATTTTAGAGGTCATCCCAATTTCAGAAGGGTGTTTGATGTAAGTAAGAGCAAACATTCGTAGAATTTTTATGTTGTACTTGAGTAATACGCAAGAACTAGAGTAGATACGAATGAACTGGAGTAGAAAATTTAATACTGAAACAATACTGTATAACCAATTTTCACAATTCCAGTCGTTTGAGTAAGTGTAAAGAATGTAAGTGTATGAAGAAATTCAAACGCTCAATAGAGATAAACGTAAGAATATCACAGGGAAGTGGAAAGAACCGTAGTTTAATGTATAAAATTCTTGGAGTATATGTTACAATCTCTTTACATAAGAAAGCGCAAGTATTTTGCTTACAGAATTTAAGAATCGTCAAGATGTCTAGAAATAACGAGCATGATAATATCTAGCACATCATTCTTTGATTTTTTCGAACCAGTTACGGTTGAACTTGGCACCTTATGAAAAAAAACTATTGTGATTTGCAAAAAAATACTTCACACTTAGTTAACATCAATTTGTATTCATCCAAGAGCACGTCAATCTTTGAGTTGCATTAAACTGCGTGCAAACAGGATATCTAAGGTGATGTATTATCTTAAAAGTAATAAATTTCACACTTCATTTACTGAATTAAATCGACTAACGATTACTGATTGAATTCGGCTTAAGGAATGATTCCACAGAACTATATATCGTGATTCAATATCATCATAAATTGAAGACTATCAAGTAGTTGAAAACTGGAAAACTTTATAAGTGTTCTTTCCTTCTTTTTCCCACCGATATCTGGATAAATGAATTTTAGCAATACCAGCCCATCCTTGAATAATTACCCAGTGCTAATCGAGTCAATGGCCCAAATAGAACATTGGCAGCTAATAAAATTAGCTTGTAAAATTCACTTCAGTTTTATTTGCTGCAATATAGCATTAGCCAAATGACCCCCAATTGACATAATTATCTGTGTTCTGGTAATGAATTTGTTGTTCTTGATTGGCATGATACGAGAAGGCTAGATCAAGGTAACGTATTTTATTCTTGTGGGTCGGTTCTTCAATGAGTGTTTTAAACATACTCGTCTGGAATCTTTGGCCACCCCCCCCCCCCTTTTCTCCTAAAAAATTAGATATTCAGATATCATTATCATGTCTTTAAATATTTTTGCCCTTCTATATCCTTTAGAAGCAAAGTTGAAACAGGTAGCAAACACGTTTTTTTTTTTTAAATTTCTACCAGAAGCACCAATTTCAGGTCACAAAATTAGTGTCCAAAGAAGTTGTAAATACATGTATATTGGATCCCCATAAAACGATTTATGTCGATGTGCGGCAAGAATGTTAACCATACTGCAAGGATTTCTAATAGGAATTTATAGCATTGCCTTTAATGAAGTTTTGGCTGGCTTTTGGCTTTTGCAAAGATCGCAGTTGCTTATAGTGAACAAAGAATTGTCAAACCCAATATCGTTTAAGTCATTGGACCACGATGTGAAGTTAAAAATATAAATTGTTTAAGAGGATGTGTAACTTTATATTTCTTCAGATGTTTCATGTTAACATAGTTGTTGATTAATTGATTGATAGACATAAAAAGCAGATGAACTGACTAAATAATAAGTATTTTGTAAGGTTACAAATAAGTAACAATTGGCGATTTGATTGTGCACAAGATCTATATCATCATGACGAAAGCCTCGTCTTAATTAACAATTCTGCTAAGTGGATTATCTTTCAACATGTGCTCAATCAACTTATAGTCAACATAAACCAGATTTAATCGATCTATGCTTAAATATAGGGATGTTTTGTCACAGCAACAAGCTACCGATAAATATTATTGCCAGGGAATATATTGATGACGATCGTGTGCGTTTCTTAAACTATGTATTTTGTTATCTGACCAAGACAATGTTTGCGAATGCTGAAGATCGACTCTTGTCCCCATATGTTTTAAAAGAATTACTGTGACTGCATGTATGAAATTAGTTAATTATCTGCACGAACAGAAGGCATCGCACAATTACGTCCACTTAACGTGAACTGACCTCCCCATAACGACGGAAAAACATTGTAATTTTGGAATTATAGATATTATTCCCAGAGATGACGTCAGCAGGATAATTATCAATCATGTTGCAAGACAACTAACGTCCCCTATTATTTACTTGATCACACTTGAAATACATGTACGTATAGTTATTTCTTCTAAGGTATCATTTCATGTTTATGCACAAAATCAATAGGAGAACCATTTGTTTTCAACGTTTCTTGCCATGTTTTGATACAATGTCGTATACGCATGAAGCTGCAGCATAAACGGTGGTCTACCTTTTCCATGGTAGGTATCTTCATTCATTTAATTTTTATTAAAAGATACAGTAAAACCGAGGTCTGTAATTTTTTGCTGCCCAAACAGCAATCGAACCCATTCTGTATTTATCCAAATTATTTATTGGACATACTAGTACTCCTTTGTCCGGAATTTCTAAAAGTATATTTTGCAATTAGGTTTACAAGATATTAATTTAAATTGCAACAAGAGCAATCAAAAATAACTAAAACAAACACACACACACACAAACAAAGACTTTTGCTACCATATTTTACATACATTCTTTTTTCCCGTTTTAAGAATTGTTGAGACAAAATAGTGATTACTTTTAAACCAAACAAACCCCAGTGTATATTACGACACTCCAATATCAGTGACACCGAGAAAGCTGTGGTACGCACACAAGTTTTGCATACACAGACTTGCAGATCGGCTTGTGATTACTCTGACACAATGATAAGTATCAACACATGTATATAGTGTTATTCACAAATGACAAAAGCATTACCTTCTGATGCAAAGCCTCTCTACTCACACCGAGTACCTCACTGCAATAAGCTCAGAGAGCATCGACGTAGTTCTTACAGAATGACAAGAATACCTTGTTTACTCCAAGGAATTTTTTGTTTGATCATGTCAGTTTGTTACATTTTATATACATAATATGACGTCTTTAAATCCAAGTTCCCTGTTTAAGCTTTGGAGTCTTCTGCAGAAATATGCTAAAATACGATGCATTTTTTACTTGGCCAATGCTTTAAGATCATCTTTAAATTAAATTTTTCAAAGTATTTATTCAACTTAAATCTACGAATGGTTCAGACATTATATGCTAATACTTACATATGGATAATTTTGATGAGAATAAGAACTATGGTGAACATTTGAAAGAGAGTGATTTCTGTCAGGAATAGGAACTGTTGATTCACATGGTTATTTATAATATACATTGTACAAAGGTATATACATATATAACATTGTTTTCAAGAACTCCAGACCAAAAAAATATCCTCATATCTTTCAATTACGAAAGGTCATGCAAGGAGCGATATTTTAAAAGAACTAATCTTTTTTTAAATCAACAAAATTAACTCAAGCTTATAATTAAAAACTTCTGTGAAGTAAATATTAGTCTTACCTCGACAAGGAAACGGCACAAGTCATCACATTTGGCTATAAAAGAGAAATGCAATCTTCGTCCAGTCTTTTGTCTTGTAAATTGTTTATTCTCATATGTTTCGCCCTTTTAATGCTAATTCCAAACATTCATATTTCATGACAAGGGATTGCACACATTATCTCTTTCAGACTTAAAAAACACATCAAATCATCTAAAGAAAATGAAATATCATACATATGCGTATGTCCAGACAAGAGATCACTTATATTTTTTGTATAAATACAATGCTCTGTTTCCTCTACAAACTAATTACTAAGTAATTGGTGGTACTGATAGAGACAAGAGTTGTATCGCTGTAACTTGTGTGGAATCAGGACTCGGAACTTATTATCTGAGACAGTTCTATCTCTTACATCCTGATTTTAAATGTCAAAACTCTTCTCCGCCGTGTTGTTATGACCGATGTGTGTTGTTTTCATTCATGGGATGATGCTGATATTTGCATCTTTAGTATATATAGTTATTTTACCAGACACCGTTACGGCCATAATCTTACACGCTGGACCAAAATAACCGAACTGGTGCAGTGAAAATATAATTTTTCGATTTACACGATATATTACAGTGTACTCAACTAAGTCTCTTAATATATAGAGCAAATTGCATTAGACCTAAAGGATTTCACTGTTTGTGACGTGCTGACGCTTTGCTTGTCGAGAAGTTTAAATACTACGTCACATTGTTACCACATCAAAGGAAGTAACCGAGATCGCTTCTCTCCCACGCTAAAGTCGGTCAACTGCAATACACATCGCCGACGTATAACGGGTTTATAAAAGGGGACAGACAGTCCAGCCGTCCTTTTATTGAATATTTCCTTCACAAATCTTTTAAAAACAATTGAAAATAGAGCAGTATGCTTTTTTTAGAGTCCATAATAATTGAAGTGATGCCATTGTATATATGCCACATAAAATGTGCCTGATGAAGCTGAATGTTTCCGTATCAGTCTTTGTCATGGATTGTAGTAGTTTGTTTCAAACACTGTTGAAAATAATGATTTTTCTTTGAAAAAATATATTCCGTGTATGTATTAAACCATGAACTGAAGGACTTTAGAACTGAGTGCATAGATCTACATGTATACCCCAAACAACCTTATCATGCGCGGATCTAGAGAGGGGGTTCGGAGGTGGTCCGAAAAGAAAAACGCATGTGTAATAGCTTTTTTCTTCTCTCTCTCTCTTTCCCTCTCTAAGAAAACCTTTTAGTGGCTGCATACAGTCATGTATTTCACTCTATTCTATCATTATTGTGTGAAAAATAAATAAATGATCTAGTATTTTCATTAATTTTGATATTATGACAAGATGCTTTAGCCTTCGGTCTACATGTCATATACACGAATCAAAAATGATATTTCTGTGGGAAAATCGTTTTGGGGAGGGGGGGGGGGTAATTTGGCACTCTTATTTCTTTTATTATATAAATTATAAATCAGTTTATCAGTTGGCAGAGTTTAAGCCCATTCTCATTGCTCATACAGACAGACTGCCGCAGGTTTTTTGCATGAGAAGGTTTTTTTTAACAATACTGTGTATTACGTAAAAGAGACACTTTTTAACGCAATCCTTTATAAAACTGAGAAAGCAGTAAGTACATGTATACCCATAACAAGGAACACAATACGTATTGAGTACTGCGTACACAGAGATTTTGCAAACATCCTCCATTGTGTGTATGTTTGAGGGGGGGGGGGGTTAGAAAGGAAACAGGTGCGATTTCAGCAACTGTGAGACAACTTTATCACATATTAATACAGTGTTTAATAATTATGCGATGCAATTTGTTTTCTAAGATCTTATGCGTGTTGTCTTACTTTATATGCTTCAGAATTAACTAATACGACGTTTAGAGAATATGGCATCCTAAATATTTATCACCAATTCGTACTGGAAATGGAGTATTTATCTTGTTTTAACTCAATCAAACTATAAAAACCAATTGATATTATTCCAAATCCTTGATGTGTTACATACGGCATAGACTCGAGTAATTGGCGACAAAAAGTGGGGGGAGCTCTCACTTCAATCCGATTCGTTTTTATCCCTTCAAGTATGTTAACGGGCACATAATATAAGAAACCCCTCCCGGCAACTTTTTTTTGGAACTCTAAATGGCAGTTTTCTTTACCCCCCTCCTTTCACAAAATTTTTTTTTTCACTGTTATTATTTTTTTATGTATTGAAATTTTCATTCGGAGGCCTGTTTCACAAAAGCCCCCCCCCCCCAACTTTTCTTTACAGTCCAATCTAAGCTCTTCCATGTTATTGTGTCTAAAAAGTGACGAATATGAGAAAAGAAACCTCTTCTCCGCCAAATTCTTAATTTTGAGTTCTTTGAAATTTCCTAATTTTTTTTTTTTTTGGATAGCTTTGTCTTCACTTCTCTTTGAAATAAAAAAGCTACGAATCTGGAATGAATGGTGGTTTTAAAAAAGTAGATTAGAGGAGGGAAGCGGGAAAAGTGAACAGAAGAAAGGAAGTAGAGACGATTGTTCCTTGTTATAGCCTATATAATATATACACATGTACATCTTGAGGGAGAGGGCTTGTGCCCAATCCCTTTGTAATTAGAAATCACAATAAAATATGTTCAAACCAAACCAAACCATGGGGCTGGCAAGAGTCAATTTATTTATTTTCATATCATCACACCAGTCAAGGACAGATTATTCATTTTCTTCTTTTCTTCTACTCTGAAATAAGGTTGACAAGCAAAAGAAAAAAAGGGAAACTCTATTTCGGAGGGGGGGGGGGTAGAAGTACTAGTCAAGGACAGATTTATTTTCTCGCCGGTCGAGGACAGATTATTTATTTTCAATATTTTCGAGGACAGCTTATCTTTTTCCAAAATCTGCCAGGCCGCCGAATCAAGAGGTGTTAATATTTAAATATAGGCTTTACATTCTGTCCTTCGGTATTATTTATACTGTGAATACAAAATGTATGTATTGAACTTCAATCGATAAAATTTGAACTTAAATGTACACGCCTTCCCTCTTTATTGTCTCTTTCGAATACATGCGTATAGAGTGGGCTCCATTTTTCAGCAGTAATTTGTAATAAATTGCTACAATCTAAGAATGCATGACCTGGATTGATACTGATAAATCCAGTCAATCATGCACTACTTTTTATACGCAAATATGATAAAGGTAAAATATGTTATGGAATAAAACAATCACCTCAACTTCAATTTATCAAAATGCATACTGCTCTATTTTCAATTGTTTTTAAAAGATTTGTGAAGGAAATATTCAATAAAAGGACGGCTGGACTGTCTGTCCCCTTTTATAAACCCGTTATACGTCGGCGATGTGTATTGCAGTTGACCGACTTTAGCGTGGGAGAGAAGCGATCTCGGTTACTTCCTTTGATGTGGTAACAATGTGACGTAGTATTTAAACTTCTCGACAAGCAAAGCGTCAGCACGTCACAAACAGTGAAATCCTTTAGGTCTAATGCAATTTGCTCTAATTTTTAATCTGGGGAATGATTTATTCCAGAGCTAAACTTTGCTTTGCTTTTTTTCGAAATTCTGGAAGGTCCATGTTATTATAATTGTAAAAGTAACATTCATAAAGGTATATATAGACAATGTGCAATTGCACGGAAAAATAATAAATTTTAAAATAATTCACAGAAAATAAATTGCTTCCTTCAACACTATAACCTTTTTTGTTAGATTTGTAAGATTATTAGTTCGTTAGAATCAAAACGAAACCTTCCCACATCCTAACGTAAACTTTTTCAAAGAGGATGGGGGCTACAAAAAAAAAAAAATTAAAAAATACACTAAAAGACCCCCCCCCCCAAAAAAAATGCTCAGACTCGAAAATCCTATCGGGGGGGGGGGGTTCTTTCTATATATTTTCGACATATATTTTTTTTAGTGTAAGAATTCGACCATATTGTAACAAAAAGTGTGTGTGTGTGTGAGCGTCTGCTGGGGGGGGGGGGGGCAAGCAGCGTATAATTGAAAATTTTCATAATAAATTACAGCGAAAGACTATTCTCCAAAAATGTACCCCCTTCTCGTACTACATGCCTGAAACCCATGTTCACTTTTTAAAACTGAGTTCTACACACTACACAAAGCACGTAAAAAATCTTCTGCATTTTAAATACATAAGATTTTTTACGTGGCACATGCAGATCTATTTACATGAAGCGTTACGTATACGTGTCAGAATTTGTAGTCAGCATTGTGGCTTCTGATGAAGCAGAACTGCTAACGTGATATTTTAGGTTTTTTAACCTACAGCAATAAGACAAGGCATGCCCTTCGTTGGTGGCAGTGAAGGTTTGAAATGGAAATTTAATGCAGATATTACAAATGAAATACATACGCTTAGACACATATTTCATCTATTTCGAAGCTGTTCTGATAACGGTTCTGTTTAGAGTACATCTTAACACAGATGGATTGTTAAACATGTCTTATAAAAACACCACGGGTCAAGACAATCTGGCACAGTTATCCGTAACTGATCCCTGTACACAGTAGTTTCAAATTTAGAAAATTCCCTTCATATAAATAGAGAATAAAATTACAGCTCTTGCTAGATATGCTCATATTTTGTTAAAAAAAAAAAATAAATCGAACTTACTGATAGCACTGGGTTTTTCACGCGTGTAACTTGACACCTTCAAGGACCCTACCTTTTTACACCAATGAAAAATGTTTTGGAGACTTTAGAAAGTTGTATTGTATTAAGGAAGCACTAAATACTGCTCACTGAAGAGTTCTAATTCCATGGTAGTTTTATGCAGTTAGAGTGATCTGATCATTGCATATCGGCTATATTGGAGCTATAATGGCGGCATTCCATAAAGGTTTCCGTATAGAGAAAGTATAAAAATTCGCTTTTTTATACACTATTTTATTTGATTATTTTTTTTTATTTTATATTTATAAAATTATATATAATTTTTTATACACTATTTCGAATAAAGTTCTTCCGCCGATGGTTTAACTTTTCTTCATATTTTCTACCGGAAATGATACTTGTTCACACCAAAGTGAAAGTTCCGACCGCCTTTTTGATTTGAAAATTCGAAGCAAGAGTACATTGTTTTATTGAAGAAAAGAGCACAGAATTGTCGTCTTTATCATTTTTGATGATAAAATGTACATGTATGTGTTTAGTGCAAGTTGATAGAGTTCTTCCGTGGATTAATAGGTGCACGAGAAAGCCTATCTTTATAAAATACAAATGATTTATCATTTCTTGAAGATTTATTACCGTCTTTTTAATTTGGAAACGGCAATTTCTTGAATCAGTGTGACCACGTGACCTACTT